AGCTATTCCATCAACATCTCAAGTTCAAGTAATTTTGAATTAATTTTTAATGTGTCTCCAATACTCTCAGCACACGGGAGTTCTTTCTAAGCTTTCTTTGATTTTAATAATTATTTTTGTCTTTTTTTGGTAAAAAGTGATATTTTTGACTTCTTGTTAAAAATCGCAAGTCTGATTGCTTTGATACTATACATATAGGTACCTCAGGTAAACCTCTCTCAGACTTGTTCATTTCGTGATGATATCTTCAATTATCTAATTTTAATGATTATTTTTGTCATTTTTGGTAAAAAGTGATATTTTCGAATTCTTGTTGAAAACAGCAAGTCCGATTGCTTTGATACTATACATATTGTTTATTTTCTAATGATATCTTCAGTTCTTTAATTGAAATTTGTATTGCTAACATCGGAGCTATCTCAGCCGACAGGTTGCTTGTGATTATATTGTATCACTCAAAAAATAAGTTTTATTCGTATGGAATTTGCCCAGTCTACATATAGGACTGGTTGTTAAATGCAGTGCATTTAAATATTGGAGGAGAATCCTACATTGAATGTAAGTAGAAATATTCACATCATTTGTTCTTGCATCTCTGAAATACAAAAGATGCATCAATTTTGAATGAAATCGCGATAAGACAACACCAAGTTTGAATGAAATTGGTCAATGCATGCAGTTTGCAGTAATTAAGTCATGGGCAAGTTGCAATAAATCAGAGATACTATAGAAAACCTTAATTTTCCACCAGAACGTGTTTCCACTGAAGGAATAAATCTTGATTCCGGTGAAAATAAAGTATTTCATAGTGATTTAAGTAATTACCTTCGCTGCTATGTGATTACTGTAAAATGACTAATTTTCACTGGGTTTAAATTTCGCTGATTTACCATTTCAGGCATATTCTGTGAGTTTTAAATTCACGGTTTTATCATTTAGATAATGTGTTTTATGCTCAATTTTACATATTCACCAGGTTTTAATTTAGCGCATTTTCCAGTCAGCGAAGTAAGCAAAATTAAAACCCAGTGAATAATTAATCCTTTTACAGTATATTGTATTTATTTGTAATTTTTTGTAATATTTTCGAGTTGGGCAACAGTTCCCTATATTGAATGTCTGCACTGTTGTCTCTCCTGAAATTTCAAAGCTGACTGTAAATAGTGCATTTTGAAACAGAAAACCAGATTTACCCCAGTAGTACAACATGACATATATGTGCGTGATCATCCTACTATCCTGGCACACTCACTGAGGGCTGGTAGACTATTTTGGTGTTCATGTTTAGTCACTGGTAGGAGTTGAACTTGGGCCACCAACCACTACACTACCAGTGTGACATTACCTACATTTTATAATCTGATGAATTTTGAGATTGAGATGTTACAGCTTTATTTTTTAACATGAAATCAGTATATATATTTTTAAAAGATTTAAGATATTTGACTCGTATCATATCAACTTGAAATTGTGAATGGCTCTTTGTGACACACACAGATATATTAACTGGCTGATTAAATCTATTCTATTTTATTGTGAGTGTGTATTATTTTACTACTTTGCACCATATTTGCACCAGCACCTGGACAGTACTCTTTACCTCAACCATTTCAAATTTTTCCCGCAAGCATGCAGGCGACCGAAAACTGTTTAAAGAATGAATCATCTATCAAAGCAAAGGAAGCTTCTACGTCGCCTTTGGTAGCCTGTTATTTCAGTTTTACTTTTCTTTTTTTTTTAAATTGTGAACTGAACTGAAGTTCAGATTCTTTGCACATGGAACCATTTTCTGTCTTGGACAAGCGGCCATTTTAACACAAGCTTAGTGTCACCTCAAAATAGAAACGCTGTGTAAAGCAATGCGAAATGGCAGGATTGGAAATCAGTGGATTCACAAACTGATAATTGCTGGTTGCTGGACAAATTGGTTGCATGATCAAGCGAATGAGGATCAGTCTTGGGGTCGACAAAGATTTCCTGGTCGTTTCCATGGTAACTGAGAGTAGAGCTAATATTGTAAGGAAAATCTGAATAATCAGATTTCTAATGCCTCAATTGTTGAGGAAAATTGTTGCAATATATTACCTCCTCTGTCTGCTCCAGATTTTATTGGGCAGATTGTCACATCGGCGACTGTACATCCGGCAGACCAAATGATGTGGGCTATATTGATTTTTAAAGGAACATTTCTGAAATCAATTTCACCGTTAAAAACTGCATATTGATTGGATGCATGCTATCCTATTACGGGTGATGACATCACCACTGAGGGCGCTGGCACACCAAGACCTCTAGCCAGTGTTCTGTGAAGTGTTATTCTATTCTAGCAAAGAGTGCATAGCTGCAGTGGCACTGGGGTGTTACAACACATTACCGTAGAAAAATGTTTGAATGAAAATGAGCCTGGGTCTCATAAAAAGTTACTAGTCATAAAAAGTTGTTTTCTATGAATATTGTTTGTGTTATAATGTTTTGCATAATGACATAACGACTGTATTATCTCTTATAAAGAAGGAAGTTGATAATTTTCCTGGAACAACAGAGCCATCTACTTCAGAGTTTGAATATCATAAACACTGTTGTTACTCAAATACAGTTAAGCAGACATTTCCCAACTTAGGAGAGTTGCTCGCAAATCAGAAAAAAAACATTCCTGGGAACCAGTGACTTGAACAAGCCCAACTCAGTTTGGTCCAGCACTTGCAAAACAATAGGTGATTTTCCGTACAATTGCGAGATCTCACGAGATGCATGAAAGACGCACGTCGAACGTCTGCCGCAAAAATCGAACGATTTGATTTTGAACTAGAATTTCTTTATTTCGTAGCTCACATCGACCGGCCGATCTTCGACAGAGGAATATTGCTTCCGAATACCCTTACTTAATCGAATTGCCTATCATCAAATGTGGACAGCACATTATTAAGCATGGAAATGTCCCCGAAAATACTTTCGCGTTTGTCGAATCCTACGCGATGTTTGACTCCACTACGACGCTATGACCTTTGTTTGTCTTGTTTTTTACGTTCGATTTCACGCATAATGCGGGATTCTCGCAGTGAACGGAAAATGGTCTATTAGCCTCTGAGAGAACTTGTACTGAGGTGGCCGAGTTCTATGCTATAATCAAGATAACCAACATGTACAAAAGTGCTTGTATTCTGATAAGGCGAGATCTTAGTTTGGCAATCAGAAAGCAGGTTGGAGCCTTGGTTTTCTCCAGTACAGGCAATTAACACACAATTTTTTCCTGGCTAAGGGTTGGGGTGCTGGTGGAAAATCCCAGAGAACCCATCGATTAAACAGTCACATGCGAGGGCACCATCTAAGTAATTTTGAAGGCGAGCTTTCCGGGAAGGACAACAATTTATAGGCAACACCATGAAAGCATTTTACAAAAACAGTTGGCAAAAGGGGGGGGGATCCCTATATAGTGACAAACAACTTTCCAGCTTGGTACTCTCACAGTGCCAGAAAGCACAAAGGAAGGTGACCTATCATAGATCTTAGGCAAGTCAATCGGTAAACCTCGGCAGAAACTTTCTCAAAATGGAAACTCTAGCCTTTGTGTACTGTTGATAATTTAGATTTCATAGCATCAATCAATCTAAAAGAGGGATATCTGTATTAACCTGTTTTATGATTAATGACGCAAAGGCTCATGGGTAGATACTTGTTTATAAACAATGACAAGCTATGGCCATCTGACACATGTGCAGATGACGACTCCCCCACTTTAAGACAAGGTAATTTTCAAACTAGATATTTTCACATTTTGAAGAAGCTTCAAGAATTGGGACGAGCTTAGTTTTCAACTAAGTGAGCAAGAACAGTAGGAGCATCTAGGAATATCAAACAAAACACCAAAATCAAACTTTATAAAACAAATAGTTACAATAAATTTTTTTTTATTTGGTGGGGAGAATATACATACAACAAAACAGAGACAAATCTTGAATTTCAGAAATAAAAAAAAAAAAAATAACGATAAGCATAAATAGAACCTCCCACATGTATCTAAAACCCTGTTACCATGGCAACAAACATAAATGTGGAATAAGTTACGTAAAAATATACAAATATGAGGATGTGTATTATATTTAATACGCAAGGTTATGTGGTCTTTCTGAATTGACCTTTATACATACATTTTTTTATCCCAAATGTTGGTGCAACATATTGTATTTTTCTACAATTTGTTAATTTTCACCCAGACAGACAAACTTTTACTATTGTCTGTTTTTTGAACAAATTGAGGGGGGGGGGGGTTATTTTGTAAAACGTAACAAGTTTAATTTGGGGTTCAAGCACACATGAACGATAATAAAATTTTGGTTAGTTAATAATCAAGGTATTGGCAAAGTGAAAAATTTCATTTTCATATAACCACTTTATTATGACCATGCAGACACAGTTCAAATGATGAGAAAGTCAGAAATTTCCTCGAGATTAAAAACCATTGAATCGATTTGGTAAAAGTATTGTAGTGATACCAAATATAAAGTCTCATGTTGTTAAGTGATATTTTCACAAAATTTATTCCCAAGATGGAATGCACAGGATTTTGTAAGCAGTGAGCATTTCACTGTGACCTTTCTTCAGACGTGGTAGTTCTGTGACATATTGTTCACACAAACTGCAAAAATTAAAATTCAACATTGTTGATCTATTGCACAGCACCTTAACTTGCCTACTGTAGAATACTTTATTTTCGCTTGGAATTAATTTCCGCTATTTTCACTGAAGGAATGATTCAGTGAAAATAGAATACAGCGAATATACCGTTGTTCCTATATTTTACATTCAACTCGTCAAAAATCAGTGAAAATAAATTCCATACAAAACACCCAAAAAATCTATTCAACGAAAATTAATTCCAGTTAAAATAAACTATTTTACAGTATTATAAAGTGTTTATTTTTACAGTTTAAATTTGGTTCGAGAGTTGACAGTTATTTCATCATATGCATCTATTGAGTCTGGGACATAGCTGAAAGTACCAGTGGGCAATTTGTTTGTCAACAGGTTTTTTTAACATATCTAATCTCGTCTGTCCCTGCCACCTCTCGATGTTGAAAGTCATGAGGGCCCAATATCCATTATCCACTGCAGATTATCTTCTGCTTCAATGTTTACTATATTATCTTTGAAGTTTCTGCATTTTGTACATGGTACCAAGAACATTCATGAGGAGTGTAAACGTTTAAATTTTTCGACAAAAAAAGAAAACAAATTATTCGCTCTTCTCTTCCAAGAAAAAAAAATTAAAAAGATGAATTAAAAAAAAATTTGGTTATTCAACAAAAAGAACAGTAATTAAAACATTCATTGCATTTGACTTTTAAATCTTGTTTTTGAAAAGTATTTCAGTTAAAACTTATTTGAATATATTACTTCTGGTTAAAAATTAACAGACTGGAAAAACCTAATTGTCATAATCATTTTCAACATTAACATATTTTTGGGTTCTCTGGATTGAATTTGGCACTGGTTAAGATTTGGGAGAAAGGGGAGCAAACAAGCATTTTATGTATTGTCTGACAATACATTGACGCTGTGACTAGGTTTTTCAGGAGAGAAAGTTGCAATCAGTGACTCCCTTCAACAATATTTGGTTGCTGCGATGTATAAGTCGGGGAACAGCATATGACAAGCATTGTTGAGTCCTCTCAATGCCAAGACGCAGTAGACAAAATATTTGCTATGACCAAATTTGTTGATATGTCAATTTGTTGATATGACCAAATAGATTTGAATCCATATCGACCATCGCAAGATACCTCATTTTAAAATCGTAAAAAAAAAAACATTGCTCAAAACGCTCAAATTATTACTACCAGTAAAATCTTTATTTTTCACTGCGTGTCTCATCATTGTCACAGTTCTCATTAAATATTTTGGTTTTAGTTTAAATGAACCGAAAATATATTACAGAATGTCAAAATGTACAGTTTTTTTTGAATTTTCTTTAACCTTTTCAACACCAGTTGTCTGTTTTCATCACAAATTTCCAAAATAGTCCTGTTCATAGTCTGCACATTCCGTCAGAAAATTAGGACAATAATAGCTAAAATTTTTGAGCAAAAACTGGAAATTGACTCAAATTTTGTCTGTTGGCTCCAAAATTAGGGTTAATTTCCAGAAATTGAAGAATATAAGAAAAATAGTGCAAGGAAGTCTGGTGGTGAAAAGATTCATTAAATCCAGTGCGCAATTTTGAAATTGTCTGAAATAAATATCCAACATAAAATAAAACAAATGCTTGTAGAATTCATACAAGCAATATGCCATAGTAATATCAATGCTCATTTTTGCCAACGGAAGTTGTAGCAACTTCCTTTGCAGGAGTTCTAGTCACTGTGAACAAAGTCTAAGCCTGGAAACCAGATCACCATTTAGCTGGTTACCAGTTCTCCATTGATGACATGAAAATGATCAATATCGCTGTTTTTGCATTTTCCCTAAAGTAACGGCCAATTTTGATGAATTTAATGTACGAATGCTCACTTGGTTTTCAATAATCCATGTAAATTTCCCATGTGGTTTGCACCGACAACCCCAACAAGTTGAGAAACATAATTTAAAAATTCTAAAATACATGATATGCACAGAAGACAAGTACAACTCAACCATAGTGTGCAACATAACTTGGAACCACAAAATATTCACGGAGAGAAAAAAAGTTCATTCTGTTTTTTTTTCTTAAAAAATATACACACCTGGACAAATTTTTTTTTTATAGAAATATAAATACCTATAATCTACATAGACAAAAAAGTGTTGGAATAAATACACCAATTGCAATAACAATAGGGAACATCATACTGCTCTCGTCTGCCGCGTAAGGATCTACTGTTTTGGGGCCTGAAGTTTTCCTGCCTGCTTTGGGTTTCATTGGTTTGTCCTCTTCCAAGTCTTCCTCTGGTTCTTCCTCGTCTAAGTCGAGCCCAGGAATTGGTGGTAATTTTGGAACATCTGAAAATTAACATATTTAAATCAGCAAAAATATTGTTCCTTTTACAAGTAGTAATTATCAAGATTATAGGACTTGAATCAAGAGACATTTTTAATCGATCTTATTCTAGATACGTCAGGTGACCATATGGGAGTCAGGTTGGTGTCATGTGACTAACTGCCCAATAAAGTCAACTAAATTGTATTCTATCATGTATTTACAAAAATGGGTGGCTAATGAGTAATTATGGACAAAAGTAGAAGACTGATAAGCCTGCAGCCACCTTCCATGGAACTACTGAGACATTTTGAGGTGAATAATTTGTAAGGGAGGATGATTCCACAATAAACTCTTTGAAACTGTCTTCATGATAGAACGGCAAGCATCCTGCTACTGTGGGACCAATAAAGAAAAGATGCAAGCCATTGTCAGCAAAAAGTTCAACTTTTTCTCTTGGCAAAACATAAGAATAAATGCGAGGTCATGCCTAATTTGTGTAAGCTACTTACCATTCATTGTGCCTTTCATGAGATACATGGCATTTATCTTCGGATTGTCTCTATAACCCTGTCAAATATACAATCAGACAACGACAACGTGTGATTTATGGACATCTTTCTAAAATTATTCAATACTGTAAAATATTTTATTTTAGCTGGAATTAATTTTCGCTGAAAACGCTTTTGGGTGTTTTGTATGGAATTTATTTTCACTGATTTTTGATGAGTTGCATGTGAAATATAGGAAAAAGGTAATATTCGCTAGATTTTATTTTCGCTGAATCGTCTTCTTTTCAGTATTTTACAGTTTACCGATATTATTTAAATATTATTATATAGGGATAAGGATTTGTAAAGGATTTTGATTCTTATCAATGCACATGTCAGTTTGAAACTTGCAACTCATGCATGCCAGTGAACTGCGCCACATGAAGTAGAAAGGAGAAATGTTTATTTTTTTTTATTTTTCAGACAGGGCTCAAAAATTGAAAAATCAGGGAAGCCTGAGACGGCAATCAAGCCAGTAGCCAGACAATATTGTCCATCAGTGGGTGAAGCCATGCACACAATTGTGTATACAAGTACATCAAAATAACAAACCCACTTGGTGCTAGAAAACACATATTTTGTCCATTTGGGCTACTAATTTTGGTAATTGTTAGCGCCTGACTCAAGTATTTTTGAGTCCGTCAGCGGATGCTTTATCAATTCAAATTAATCTTTAATGTATGTATTGAAAATATATCATGTACTGTAAAAACTTTATTTTAGCTGGAAATAATTTTCGCTGAAAAGACATTTTGGGTGTTTTGTATGGAATTTATTTTCACTGATGTTTGGTGAGTCAAATGGAAAATATAGTTATATTCGCCAGATTTTATTTTCACTAAAATCATTCCTCCAGCGAAAATTAATTCCAAGCGAACTAAAGTATTTTACAGTAAAAAATATTAAAATTGCATTATTAAATCATTTTTTCAATTTTCTCTGGGACGAGGAGCAAAACCTTTTTTCTTGGATATAACATCTGACAATGAATCACACCCAAGGAATGAAAACAATTTAAAACAAACAAACTCAGTTCTTGGAGTAAATATATAACATGCATACATACATACATATATGCATACATTATTTTATGAAGCTTTCATGCGAGTGTGAAGACAAGTGTTTGGTTTGATTCACGTTCGATTCATGTACGATTAAAACGTCCATTGAAATACATGTACCTATAAATTCACTCAAATTTTGATATATAGCAACTTCAGCTAATTTAACAATATTTTTGTGCGGGACAAATAGAGATCAATTTAGTATTTTCTGAGAATATCAAGGCTATAAATAATTTCATAGTGTTCCTTGACGCGTCTGCAAATGTGCAGAAAGGAATAACATAATCAATGTCCTTGTTTCAAAGATTTTATTTGTTTTTTAAATTGAGTGCTGATAATTTGAGACTATATAATACATATGATTCATTTTCTTTTAAACATATTTATGCGTTACCAGTACTCATTTGTTTCTAGGCTATTTTATACTTGTTTAAACATTACTTCCTATTTTTCCTACACAAAATTGGCTATATACATGTATAAACTTTTGTGTAAATTATATGTGAATTGTTTGTCAATCGAATGCAAATCGTACGAGAATCGAACGGGAATCGTCTTCATACTCATCGCTCTTATTAACGTTGTTACTCTTTTACCTTTAGAAACTCCACATTTAATGTGCCACTAAACGTCGACACCTCGCCATTCACTTTAAGTTTTCCACGAGTAATTGTGAAAGGAACCATCTCGTCATGTGCTGTACCTCTCCCAACTTTGTCGTAAATATCTAGTTCAGGTACAACTGTGTGTTGCTCATTGATAACTATGTCAAATACCTGCAAAACAAAAACAAATATGAACGATCAAAGGCTTGGTACTGATGTATTTCTTGGTAAAAAACTTATGTGCTAAGACTAAACTGTCATTTCGGTTTAACTGGCATGGACATCGAAAAAAAAAAAATGGCCACTAGAAAAAATAAAAACATGTACCTGCAATTCCAAAGCATAATCATCATATAAAAATCGCCTTAGCAACAACCTTAGAAACAGCCTCTGACTCATTTGTGTACTGTCTTTGATTAATTAGAAGTGCACCCCAAATAGAATCATATATAAAAACATCAAATACATTAATTGTGTCCTATATCATCCAAATATTACATATACAGAAAATGTTGCGTCTAAAATGGCCACCAGTCGGCCATTTTTCTTGGATCATTTCGGTAAACAACTTGTCATGCATATGTACATTGTGTATGCTAATTATGTATTCGGTTTTATGTCAACAGCACAAGTGATTTTAGTTTTGTATCAATATCCTGGTTATTTCTGAGGAAACAAATTTATATATATCAATGCCAATTTCACAATTCCAAAAGTTGTTGTCCCTGTTGCCTTCATGTATGCCATAAAACTCCGAAAATGCAAAATCTAAACTAATTTGCATAATATTTGCATATAATTTGCATATTAATTTGCATGTCATTTGAGTATCTGTTTCAAGCATTCAATAGTAAAGCAATACTAGTAATTTGAATGCAGGCTGTTATCATCATTTTTTTTTTTTTAACTATTATATTTACATGTATATGATATTTCTACTATGTGGAAAACTATATTTAGCTGAACTGCTGATGTAAAAGTAAAGAATAATACATTACTGCTGGTACATTCTATTTGTTTGCAAATCTGATATATCTGTACACAAATGCCTTATGTTATTTTGTCCATTCTGTATGTTCTGTGATTTTAAATCCCAACCGAATATTATTATCGTTACTCGGAACATGTAAACACTTTCTTCAAATGATGGAACAAGACTTGTATTCAGTAAATCAATGGAAGCAGCACAAAACATTCTATGTACAATGAAAAAAAAAATTCTATAAATCAGGAAACTTACAAGAATCAGGAAAAATTATCGGACTCAAGATAAATAATATGGAACTGAACAGGAAAAATTACTGGAATCAGGAAAATTATGAGCATCAGTAAAATTTTCAGTATAATTTTTCATCTATTAGAAGAATGATAACTCATAGAGTCTTTAAAATATTAGAATTATTATATCATGAATACGACTATGAAAATACTATGAGTTTATTTTCACTGAATGTAAATTATAGGAAAAAATGTATATTCGCTGGATTTTGTTTTCACTGTATCATCCCTTGCAGCGAAAATAACAAAAATAAATTCCAAGCGTAAATAAAGTATTCTACAGTATATCACTGAAAAAGAAATGTGTATTGTCTATTTCAGAGGATGTTTTGTTGATTCAAATCAAACATTTATTACATATTTTTGAAAGCATTAAACATTGTTCATATAACTCCTTCATATGTATTTTGTTTTCCCAATGTAAACTATAGAGGTATGATTACTGCAAAAGAAAGTTATGACTATATATTTAATTTGTTTCATGTTCAGTGTTTAAAATTAGTTTCCAAATTCACATTTTTAATTTAATCAATACAAACAAGCATATTTTCATTTATTCCCATTATCATTATTCCCATGTTACATATATCCGTTGACAAATTTGTGTACTGTTTGTTTGTTTGCACTTTTTTTCTTATATTCTTCAATAAAGTGGTCATCATTTGATATAATTTAGCAACTCAAAAACAATGTGTGGAATTTATACAAAACAGAAAATAGTGTGAAGAATGGTATTCTAATGTTCAATAGTAGACCGGGGAATTGACGTAATGTATTTAACCACTTATCCATACTTGATACTGTCAATGTAATGGGTTAGTGAGAACTGATAACGATCTAACAGGTGATATCCAAATAACCCACTTGTTGGAGCCTGTTCAACTCAATTGCCATTCAACCAAAACGATAATTATCGGTCAATCAGGGAATGGAGACTTTATTTTGATACCTAACAACCAAAGATCGCCTGTCACATCATTCTTCTCGGCAACACTTTAAACGTTAATGGAAGTCAGGAGTAAACGTTATGAAAACAAATAACTTAGGGTATGCCAATCATTTTTGAGTGAGGGCACAAATTGTATGATTTTCTTATTGGTACATCTTTGTTAATAAAGAAAATACGCTTCATTTTTTTTTTTTATCATTGTAACAGTATGTAAGAATCAATTTTTAATGTTTTGGTAACACGCATTAAATATTCAATATTTCAATATTTCTGGAAATGAATCCTAATTTTAGAGCCAACAAACAAAATTTGAGTCAATAATCAGTTTTTACTAAAAAAAAATTGGTTAATTTTGTTCCAATCTTTTGAAGGAACTATAAAATATTTTGTGAATTTGTGAGGAAAAGAGGGTGGTAGAGAAAGAGTTAAAGACACATGGCATTTCCCTTTTAGAATTTAGACTGGTAGAAGAAAACATGACAAAGCCAGAGCAGTATTTGTGGTGATTTGTACAAGAATAAGAATATGTTAAATCACATGTTTTCTTGTTATGATTTTTTTATTTTATTATTATTAACATGTTATTGTTTTTTATTCTAGTTTGTGATTGGCAAAATGTTTTACATGTGTTTATGAAAACTATTTGAAATATTTAAATGAATATTTGTACGATACTAAAGTATCACTTTCACTATAGTAACAACAGTGATATGTTACCATACTATCCTCACACTGAGCACTAGACAATATATTTAAATGTCGGGAATTAGTTGATTTATAATTAATTAGTGTGAATGCTCATCAAATATTTTAAATGTGTCACACTGTATACATAAATAAAATATAACACATGCATGCAACAAACATGCCTAGATGATAACCACTCTTCATCTTGCCCACTTGTATTGATAACATAATTATTACTATTTAAGCAAGAAAAAAAATGACTAATATGTTACCCTTCTGAGGTCACACATCCTGGTACTTTGTGGAGATTTCACTATAGTATCACAGAAAAATACACACAAAAATGTGCTAGTCATTCACTGCAAGTGCATAGAAAGGAGTACTGTAAAAGAATTAATTATTCACTGGGTTTTAATTTGGCTTATTTTGCTGACTGGAAAATGCGCTAAATTAAAACCCAGTGAATATGTAAAATTTAGCATAGAACACATTATCTAAATGATAAAACCGTGAATTTAAAACCCACTGAATATGCCTGAGATGGTAAATCAGTGAAATTTAAACCCAGTGACAATTAGTCATTTTACAGTAAATGAAACAAAACAAAAAATACAACATTGGAGTTATAAACCATAGCTGATTTGCATGGATATTGGTGGGGTTACCAGAAATACAAATTTGGCCTAATAATAATTTAATGCTGTTGAGAGCAAACATTTTACAATACCCCTGAAAATACAAGGATGTGTGACCTTAAGAGGTCATGCAAAAGGCATTTAGCTGTTTTCAACCAGACATGTATCCCTGCTGGAATACAGTAATCCAGCTTACATACATTGCATATGTATTTGAATTAAAATACCGCAACACTAGTGTGTAAGGCAATCATTACACAACAAGCTATTTATACTGGTAAATATAAACAGACACCTGCTAGATCATGCATGGCTGCTGCTATTATATAAATTATCAACATATATCAACCTTAGAAAATTACCATTACTATGGTAACCAAAAATTGCACAGTAGCTCCCCTTTTTAGATATATAATTCATTACTATAATCGAGAAATAATCTTGGCAACCAATTTACATTTCCAGCAGAACAACCAATCAGAAGTGACAGAGTGGCGTGGATTGAGGGCATTCAGATGCGCCATTGAGAAAATAAAAAAAATGAACTTTGACCCCATGTTATACACGAGAAGTGCATGGGCAATGAAGCACACATTTTAATTGTGTGAAGACACTCTTTTATTTGGCTCGTTTGAGTGAATCTATTGTCTCGAGACAACGGGTTGCAACAATGAATGAGAGAGACAATGACCTAAGTTTGCGTTTCAGGAAATATATTTTTGTATTTGCAGAAAAATATTTAAATAAAGTTTTAAACATAATTTTAAGATTGTAATGTGCATTTCATACTTTGATGACAATGATAAACAAGTTAAAAACGGTTTGCCGAAATATTTGTATTATTTAAATTGTATATTAGTTGGTCATAAAAATTATGAAATGCCACAAATACAGAACATTTTTTTAAATTATTTAAATATTAATAAAATTCTTTTACAGAATATTACTAAAGGTTTTTTTCTATGAGTTTCCGAAAAAAACAAATGTTAAAATGGACACGTATAATATATTGCATTGTTTAACTCGACAGTATTTTGGGCAAACGGACAATTGATAACGGCCAACCTGTATAATTATACTCTGAAAAAATAGGTATGAATCGACTAAAAAAACAACAACTACCAAATCGCAACAGGAGTGCATGTAACGCGATCCATATTGGTGGGAAATGTTCAGACAGAAAGCCTATTAAATGTGCTTCCGCATTTGCCTTCGGGGTTGAAATGCGTTTTATTTGTACTCGCTCACCTTTTGGTTTGAAGCCGTGAAGTACACTTCGGAAAATTTCATAACAAGGACGTAATCGCCGTCTTCTTCTATTGGGATTTCATAGCCAAAACTGTCCAAGTCGTACCTCTCCGTCTGGTACAGAAGCTGGTCCTGCTGAGGCACTCGACTGATGTGTAACGATTTACCGAAATCCGACGCGATTCCCTGTATTCCTTGCAAAGGATCAGCTTGATAATGTATTCCATACGAGTCTATGTGCTCTTCTCCGCCCGAATTCACACCCCATATCACCTCACCTAGGGCATCACAAATTACAGCAACCCCAAGAATAAACAAAATGCTGAAAATAATATGCAGTAATAATTTCATAATGGGCTAAATCGTTAAGATAGATGTACAACAACACAGGTGACAGCGTGGTCTACAGCTGGTCGGCAATTCAAAACTATCGCCTCGTTTCTAGTATCAACTTACGGCAAGCCATAATTATCCCACTTTAGGGTAAAATGTAGATAATTGACAATTTAAAAGTTTTACGACGATATTCATATCAAAATTCATATTTCCAAATTAAATTTCAAACATTGTATTTTCTGTGTTTACACATAACCTCATCTTACGAATTTACAGTTGCAAATTCCTCTTTATGCATCAAGAATCAAAGATGGCGGCTGTGAATGCTAAACAACTGTCGGCAACTTCCACTTATTTGGCCTAATTAGAACGACGTTTGGACGAGTATTGTACATGGTATGGTCAGTGTGAGGAACTAGATAAACTGAGGATTTCTGATGTTGAAAAGAGCTGGGTGAATTTGTAAAGTTACATATCTGTGAAGGAAAACAACGCCTTGCCATCTAATTCAAGTATTTGTTTTGTTGAGTGAGGTTGTTGTGGTTTCGTTTTGGTTTTTGTTCGTCCAGGGTCACGTTCACAGGTGACACCGCCCTCTGGTGGCTAATAATCTTATTCCCCACATCCTCGCCAGATATGATCGACAGACTTGTTGCTATGGACGCAGAATCGTCGGAGAAGGATGCAACGGGAACTGGATCCCCTATTGAGGCAATGCAAACGCAACAGACAGAGTCAAGTAACCGAGAAGACGTCGGCACCGGTGATTTTGAAGTGCTATGTAGTGACAGTGAGGAGGACAAGGAGAAAGCCGACAAATGTAAAGACAGGCGCACATGGGAGCCGCCTCCCAGTGTTATCGTAGCTTTATACGAAAAACTTGATAAAGTTGGGACTTTAGAATTGGACTGGGTATGTCCTAAAAGAAAACTACCGGACGACGAAGAGGAAAAACATGATGACGTAGAGGCTGCCCAGAACTCGGATGAAGGCAGAGATGAGCAGGAAGTAAATGCACAGTAAGTGTTTGAAATGAAATTGTATTAAATGTCCTATTAGTATGGGTGTAAATTGTACCTGTTTTTCCATGCTTTCATTTATTTACTTATTCCCAATAATACTGGTATATGTAGTATACATATACACATGAGTAAATTCTACAACTAAGGTAAGCTGAATGAAAAAACAACAACAAAAAAACATCTTTTTATATTGTTGTCATGTTATAGCAATATTATTCACATCACACCAATTGTATCATTCTAACTAAACATCTGCTTTGGTGTGTGGTAGATTTACTGATTAATTAAACCAGGCTTAAAATATAGTTTATTTTATCTTTTTTTTAGGACAGAGGAACCCACAGAGTTTGACGATTTTGATGAGTTAAATGCAGATATGGATAATACTTCACTACATGTAACACCGAGGAGAACTCCAGGTTTGTTTTAAATTTCCTGTTTAGCTCACTATTTTTGTGTCTGCTTGTCCAGTGATTCCACCAAGCACATGTGGGTGTGCTAGGAGGTACACAAAAAAAAGTAGACTTGATGATTTTCACACTTTTAATAGACACAGGAAGAGACCCTTACTAGCCGAACTGATTGCCTTTGTGTTTGTGTATATACTATTGTCTTGACCAAGGATATTATTGTCTTTATTAGTGCATTCATTACAGCAAACACTATTGACATTTGGCAAAAGAAAACATTCTTGTGTATAACTGAGACAGTGAATATAAAATGTTCTTCTTGAAAGCTAATGTATTCTTTTTCAAATGTGTCGAAATCTGGCTATTGTTGGATGAGTTTACTATAGCAACAGGGATTCCTATACAATGTGTGCCCTATTCATTAACTTCTCAGAAACACAGTATACAATAACCCCGATGCTTGCAAAAAACAACTTTGTAATTTACCATTGAATTACTTCCACTTGTTGAAGTGTTACTGTATTTTAATTAAAACATAAACTTTGTTAAACTTCTGATTTTTAATTGACCTAGAAGAAAAATGATCACAATGTCACTAATAAGAGGAGACGTCTCTGACAAGTTTTTAAAACCAAGACTAGAAATTGAAACAGATACAGAAATTCTTATCAGCATTATAAAAAAAACAAATTATCAACACAGTGTGATTGATCTCAGTCAATTAAGAAGTAACACTTCTAGTCTTAACCCTTTGGGTGTCTTCATTTCCCATCAAAATTTTGATGTAGGATTTTTGTTGCTTTTATGCATTTTTCTACAATTTTTTTTTTTGGATGTTTTGGCAAACTATTTTCAACTTTGAAAGTTACAGCATGACTTATCAACCAAAGTCAACATTTCTATAACACGATTGAAGCACTTTATAATCCATTTGCACTGTAGATTCAGATTTCTAGACATCTCGACCCAAAAATGTCTCGACCCATGACACTTCGACCCAAATTGGACATCTCGACCCAGACACCCTGGGCATCTCGACCCACCGCATCGACCCGACCCTATCTAAGTGTGGCGACGCGAACCTCTATCTAGTTCAACGTTGATAATGTTGCTCTTTGATAACTTAAAATTCTCGCGATATTGCGTATATGAATATGAATGCTGTGTTTGAATGAACGACATTTAATAATTCGAAACATTGAAAACAGGGAACATGATCGAACCGAACCTTAAACGCAAATCGACCGCCATCTTTGGTTCTACCATTTAACGCGGTGGGTAGGTGTATATAACGTAACATCGATGTGACACACGTCGACACGGCAAGAATACATTTCCTCAGTACGGCATTTTTTATTTTGTACAGCAAAAATATATATAAGGCGGCGGGTCGTCCAAAATAGGTGGGTCGAGATGTCTAGGGGTCCTGGGTCGAGTTGTCCAATGAAAAATGGGTCGAGTTGTCCAGCACCCTAGATTCACAACAAAACTGGTATGAAGCTTTACAGAAACCGAAAATATTAAAGATAAATGAAAATATAATAGAAACTTTGTTTAAAGTAGTAGTAGTAATCGTGCTTATAGGACGTTTAAAATAAAAAAATTGCAATGTAATATATAAATGACAGTTAAAATATAAGAATAAATTGCAATGTAATTATATAAAATAAAACTAAAAACTAAAAAATACTATATAAATGAAAATATAAAAAGATGAATGATGATAAGATAATGTACAGCAATAGAACAAAAACATTAAATTCTAATTACAGTTTAAATAAATTTGAAGAACATTGCAATGCGATATATATAAAATAAAATAGAGAACAAAGATACGAAAATAAATGATTTTTACACATATGCCTTGGAAAAAAAACCATACATAGGATCCTCTGCTACCCAAGTCATACACCAATGTCTGTATCAACTGCATAACTTCTTTATACTAGTAATCTACTCCTATGTGTCATGTATGAACAAACATGGGACTCAGGATAGCTGTTTTACAAAACAAATTAATCACCCATCATCAGCTTGCTATCGACACATCATGGTTGTGATTAGGTGGCTATAGGTTAAAATAAACCCCAAGTTGCATAGGACCATAAATCAATGTCAGCTCAAATATTGCGACTTCAAAAGACTCTCTAGTGGTATTCACATTACAGATCTTGATCCCAATAGAGAGTCAGGAACAAAATTTGCTGCCAAAATCATGCCCTTGGTGGTGAATTTAAGAAAACATATACTGATTCATACTACCGGTAGTATGACATGACAATGGAGGGAAATGCAGCTATATATGTTTGGATGCTGTAGTAATGAATAAAATGAACCCAGAATGTTGTCTATGATGCAAGCAGCATATTTATGTGCTGCTGCAACTGGTTTCAGCTTGCAATGCTCTATCAACATAGACAAAAATAACTGTTCTTCAAATCCTTCTTTGTCGTTAATGTACCCAATGATTATTCCTATAAATACAATAACAGCAAATGAATGTGATTTCAAGTCATCATATGTATGATTTTGCACATGCTGAATGGGTCCCGAGTGGGTCCCGACTAACATGAGCGCAATTGCTGTAATCCCTCTGCAAACTCACAGGATTACAAATTTCCTGGTTACAATTTTAGAGAAATTATGAATAACTGGGTTTAAAATTTGTGGAAAGTGACAAAATTTGTTGTATTTATCTAGATCTCAAATAAAAATATGATTTCAATAAAATATGTATTGAAACTTGTTGATTTTGTCTTTCTTAATTGTGCACTTTAATCCATTGTAGGGAGTGGTGGACAAGGCAGCAGTCGGAAGAAAGTAGCTAGAATGGATAGAGTTATAACAGACATGATACGACACAAGAAAATGGACGATGACGGTGATCAGCTTCCAGAGGATGAAAGTAAAGATAAATCTACGCCACATCGGACACCATCCAGACCATTCAGAATAAGGACACATGATTTCAATCTCTAGTTGATACTAACTAGTACAATGGACAAAAATAACATTTTTCTACTTTCATTGTATTATGGTTCAGTCGTCTTTGAAAGCTTATGTATTTATGTTTATTACATAGTAAATCATATGTTATGTAGACTAGGGCTTTCAGTGACATGCAATATATGATATTTAAACTTTATGCAAGGAACTGATTATGATTAACTAACATTTCCATGCATATAGAATTTATAATTTATCCGAAAGTATATGTTCATGAGTACCGGTATTTAATTTCTGTATTTTGATTCTTGCCAGTACTTGGGATTGTGCTGTCAATATATTCTATTAGTTTGTAGTTTCTTATCAAGCGTATTACCGATAGTAGTATACGCTACATAAATTTTTTACATTCATTCTTATATTTATCTACTGAGTTCACACTTATATTCAAGGTGTTATTTTATAATGTGTGAGTGTGAACACTTAGCACAGGATAAGAAACGCTGAGTATGGATTTTATTTGGCCGGTTTTTAAGACCCTGTCTAGAGCCTTAGTACAGGTTAACAAAGTGTGCTAAATGTGCAAAATGCCAATGTATTCAATGTTCATTTGGAAGATTTACTATTATATTCATAACTATTCATTTTGGTAATGCCATTTCACATGCAAACATACAAGATTATCGGTAGCTTAAATCTTAGCCCATATTTTGTGAAGCCTGAACACTACAAATGTGGACATGGCTTATGCTCATTTTTGTTTCACTGTGATCAGTAAAACTTTAAAAAGGTTTGCCTTGTGTTCCATTAAACATTTTCTGAAACAGAAGACGAACATTTCCCACCACATGTGGTGTAGTTCACCGGCAAGCGAAATTGCGAATGAAAATGACTGACATGCATGATGACAAGAAGCAAAACTTTCTTTTTTGTAGTCTGAGGGGATAGCTGTAGTAGCATATCCTGGCATAGTCTGCATCGGTGGTGTCTGCTATTTCATTATAGCGCATATACTTACACGGACAACAGAGGCCTGTCTGTGGTCAACATAAAACCACATTTCAATGACCAGTATACAGTAAATGTAATTTTTGGTTTAGGTGTAATTAATGTTTCTAATAAGAGCAATTACAATAGGTGGATTGTGATTGTTGCGTTTTTTGCCCAAAATGACAATAGCGTGTGACATTTCCCAGAATACATTGCTGTAATCTGTATCAATAAATAAATACAGATATTTGAAAATATTTTTTTTTTTAAATTGTATGAACAATTTTAATTTTACTTTTTTTTTTTATAAATTTTATCTGTTAGTTGATAAAAAGTATAAAAGATGGTTTCTTCAAGTATCTTGTATACAATGAATCTATTCACTGTAAAATACTTGGTATATAATATATCATGGAATATGTTTTAATGTATAATATACACTGCCTTAAACAAATATTCCTGTCTATTTTTATGTGGAATTTTTAAATAAATAACTGTTGACCCCCTAAGCTGTTAAAAACGTTTCATTTTTTTATACCAAGTTACTTAAATCACAGCTCCACTATCCCCAGGATTGCACCAATGCATAATGGGAAATGTAATTTGAATGTCTGCCTATTATTTTACTATGGATACTAAAGTTACTGAATGTGTTCATAACATGTGCTAACATCTTGCCTACACTGTCGCCAAGTTTGGATTAACACTGTGATTTGAATAAACCTGTGATTGACTTATCATTTCAAAGACTTTCATGGGATGAAAGCATAACTTCTCATTCACTTTCAAAGCGAGACGGTGTAACCTGTACACACGCAGGAATTGAGTCCTAAGCAACGATAACAACACACTCTAAAAATACAAAGGCTCATGGGTAGACGCTTGTTTGTAAACAATGTCACGCTATGGCCATCGAACGCATTGCCAGGTGGTGACTCCTTCGCCTTAAGTTACCGTAGAATTGTGTTTAAAGGGTGGTGGTCATTGCGCCTGTTCGATATGGGACTTATAGCGTTGTACACATCTCATTTAAAATACATTGTTTACATGAAATTCGTGATGACCACCGTCCTTTAAATCTTACCTACCCCCGGTAACTGGTAAACCAACATCAAAATTGTATTCTACAAATAATCATGATTGTAAATGACAAAAAAACAATGCAAGTACTCAATGCATTCTGATAATCACAAAGAATGATTTCGTGAAGCACTCCGACCAAATATTCTTTCATTATTCACGATCATCATAATAAAAACTAGTCTTCATCTAACTATTATTTCTGGTTTGGTAGCTGAGTTTCATTGTCATTTCTGTGCAGATCCATTGTGATGCAGTGATCATTAAAATAGTGAGTCCAAATAACTATTTCCATCATGTCCTCCATATTGTTCATTCTAGTTCGTTGCACAATAACCACTGAAATAGTCATATCTATCATGCTATGGATTGACAGGTAAATGCTTGCATTTAAATGCTACAATATTTTTTTACTTCTGTGTGCAAAGCACACAAAGGGAGTCTTTGCGGTTACTATGTATGTCTGTTTCATCAGTATCTCAAGAACTTCTGTTCGGATTTTGATTGTGTGTATAGATACTCTAGAATAATGCACTGACCTGATTAGTTTTTTGTGCATATTAATGACCTCATTTGCTTAATAATATCGGTAAGCCAAATTTTAGCTGTTCCACTGATTTCTAAGGAACTGTTCAACAGATGCATTGGGAAAATGCACAGACAGATTATGGTAGAAATCTTTGCTTATTTATTACCTAATTTGCATAAAAATTATACAATTTTAGCTGTTTATTTTTATGCCACAAGAACCATTCAACATAGATAATCTTGGACAATGCGAAAACCTCAAAAATTTAAGGTTAAAATCTGTGCATATTAATCACCTTATTTCAAAGTTTGAAAAGAGAACTTATAATTCAGTCCCCATATGTTCGTCCGGAGGCGTATTTCAGACCCTGTGGACCAAATCTGTTCATTCAATCATGTGCCAAGTACTTTATCTGGGACATATGCACATGCAGTGGTTTACTGATTCAATTCAAGATGTCTGACTGGAATGCTTTGTCAGTCTTTGTTCAAATTTGGTACATTTATTATACATGTTAGGTCTTCGCGATCGAATAGAAAATGGCCGACTGGCAGCCATCTTCTGTTTTGGGAATGTTGTATCATGGACCTTGAAATTTTATGATTACGTGTACACAGAATGTTACACCTGCAGAAATTACGTCTACACATAGAGTAACGCATACAGAGATTACATGTACACAGAATGTTACACCTACAGAGATTACGTGTACACAGAATGTTACACCTGCAGAGATTACGTCTACACATAGAGTAACACCTACAGAGATTACGTGTACACAGAATGTTACACCTGCAGAAATTACGTCTACACATAGAGTAACACCTACAGAGATTATGTGTACACAGAATGTTACACCTGCAGAGATTACGTCTACACATAGAGTAACGCATACAGAGATTACATGTACACAGAATGTTACACCTGCAGAGATTACGTGTACACATAGAGTAACACCTACAGAGATTATGTGTACACAGAATGTTACACCTGCTGAGATTACGTGTACACATAGAGTAACGCATACAGAGATTACATGTACACAGAATGTTACACCTGCAGAGATTACGTCTACACATAGAGTAACGCATACAGAGATTACGTGTACACAGAATGTTACACCTACAGAGATTACGTGTACACAGAATGTTACACCTGCATAGATTACGTCTACACATAGAGTAACACCTACAGAGATTACGTGTACACAGAATGTTACACCTGCAAAAATTACATCTACACATAGAGTAACGCATACAGAGATTACATGTACACAGAATGTTACACCTACAGAGATTACGTGTACACAGAATGTTACACCTGCATAGATTACGTCTACACATAGAGTAACACCTACAGAGATTACGTGTACACAGAATGTTACACCTGCAGAGATTACGTGTACACATAGAGTAACACCTACAGAGATTACGTGTACACAGAATGTTACACCTGCTGAGATTACGTGTACACATAGAGTAACACCTACAGAGATTACATGTACACAGAATGTTACACCTGCAGAGATTACGTGTACACAGAATGTTACACCTGCTGAGATTACGTCTACACATAGA